TTTCAGAAGAGGGATATCCTTGGGTGCTTGAGGGTTTTTTTGGTATTTTGTTCTGAAGGAGGAAAAGCCTTAATTTTTTTTTGTGTTAGAGGAGAAATATCCTTATTTTTACTGGTTTTGGAGGAGAAAACCCCTTTTTTTTTTATTTCCAAGAGTGCTTTGTAATTGATTTGGCTGCTGAGCTCTGTGGGTACCAACCCAAAACACGACTAACTTAGGAAGTGAGTTGTCCCATCGACCTCCCAGAGTTTTGGGCAGGAGACCTGTCCCCTGCTCCTCTCCTGAGCAGTGATCCCCCGGCTCCCTGTGCTTGTTAATTCCCTGCTCTGATGTCCTTTCCAGGCCGATGAGCCAATTGCAGATTACGCAGCCATGGATGATGTTATGCAAGGTGAGAGAGGTGGGGAAGGGCTGGGCTTGGGTTGGTGGCCGAGGATTTGGATTGGGAAGGTGGAAAATAGGGATTGTGACTCTTCCTTGTCACTGGCTGTGGAATTCTCAGAGCGACTTCTAATGCCTTCCTTCCCTTTCCATCCCAGTTTGTATGCCTGAAGAGGGGTTTAAAGGTGAGTCCAGGTGTTTTACCCCCTTTGTATCCCCTCACATGACTCCCACTCCCATCCCATTTCCCTCCTCATCTCCTGGTGGTGTCTTTCCTTCCCAGGGACTGGTTTACTGGGCCACTGATGGTTTTCCAAGAGGAGCGACCAGAAGGGAAGAGGATTTGTCACATGGTAGGGCATTAAAAGAATAGAAACAGGTGGATACAGTACTTTTTGACTCTTCCAGAAGGCAAAAATCCATCGCGAGATGTTTGCTCCCCAAAAAACAAAACAAATGCCTTATGTCAAAGCAGATTGCACTGAAGGACATCCTGCTTCAGGACAACGTTCCCGGGTTTATTTAATAAAGAACAGGAAGGTTGGGAAGTTGAGCAGCAGTTGGTATGTTTGGGACGAGGGGTGGCCCTGTGTGTCCCCTGGCCCATCCGCAGAGAGGTCATGATCCAGTAGATCCAGACCATGCTGACCATTCTCCAGTAATTCTTTAGGATAATGCTGTCTTTGATCCACTCTTACGCTTTCAGTCCAGCATGGAAGTACAGGAATTGTGACTTCGTGAGGAATGTCTAGCGCTTTCAGACAACGAAACTTCATTTACTTAACCCAAAGGGGAAGCTGGGATCTGCCTCCCAAACCCTCCCAGGGGCTGGGAGCTGCCCCCTTTCCGCATCCTTCCACCGTCAATTCCACACCTTGGACAATCCAGTAACTGCCTGGGCTCTGGGAACTGAGGGTTTTTTAGAAACTTGGGATATTTTAATGACTCTGGAGAAGATTTTCCTCCAGTCTGGCGCTGCTGGGAGTGTTCCTGGTTCAGGGCATTTGGAGCTGGCAAGGGGCTGCATGTGGGTGCCGTGTTTCCCATGGGAAGAGGTTTTCTTACTCCTCATTTTTCAGCAATGCACTAATTTTCAAATTTTTTTTTAACATCTCCCAGCAAAGTTTTATCCCCATTAATATTTAGCAGGAAATAGTATCCCACTTTCAGACTGATTCACGTTGGGCACTGCTGAGGGATTTCTTTATTAGCGATCCTCTTCTTTTCCAACCTTTTCCTTTGTTTCCGCAGAAAAATACAATGTAGAGATTACATCAGTTATATTTTTTCAAGGTTTGCAGGAATTTGGGATGCAAGAAGAGGGTGAGGGCCACAAATTCCATCCTCAAAACCCCACTAGTTTTGATTTTCAGTATTTTATTTCTGATGTTTTATGCGAAGAATTCCAGCTACTCTTTGCCCAGCGCCTTCCTCCCTTGTCCCTGCTGGGTTTGGGGGGTGAAGCAGTTGCATTTGAGGGGCTCTAAATTTCCTAAAAAGTGATTTTTTGGGGGGGGGCGTTTGAACCCGTGGATTCTTTCCCAAGGTATAGACATGGTGAATTCCGTGCCAAAGCCACAGGAGGCTTTTCTTCCCAACCTGAAGCACTCGCTTGTGTACATATTCCTTGGAAATTCCATCTTTTCAAGTTGATGTTAATTTTTTTTAATGTTATATATAAAAAAGTTACTTCCTTGAGCTTACACTGTTGTGGGAAGGAATCCCCTGGGATGTTCCAGAGCTGTGGTGGTTCCGGCAGCGCCGGATCCTACGGAGGATGCAGGTACAAGGTGTGAGCCAAGGCCTCATTCCTGTTTTGTCTGTCATTTGCAAATATTATCGGATTAAAATTGTCATGGGAGCTGTGGCAGCCTCGTTACACTGCAGACACGTGGGCTGAAGGTGTTGAAGCAAGGTGGAGGTGATTATCCCATAAATCCCATTTGGAGCTGTCCCAGAAAGCAATATGAGCACTGTGGGATGGGGTAGTAGCAAGAGGAACCCTGCTGGAGCAGGAATCCCCCCTCCTCCTTTGCACAGGGAAGGAATCGGTTTTGTGGAGCTTGGGCACTGCATTTGGTGGCCCTGGCCCTGTCACATCCACCCCTGTCCCCACTTGGTGTGGGGACCCCGGGGGGGTCTCTGCCCCTCCTGGATGCCAGTGCTAGCCCCTCCTTGGGGTCCTCAGAGCCAGGGTGCCTTCTTGAGCCCCTGGGGGAGATAAATAGGTACTGGAGGTGGGGGGAGGAGAGAGACCTTGAGGGATAGAGGGTCCTGTGTGCCAGGGAGGGATGGGGGGGTGAAGCCTGGGTACTGGGGGTGGGCATTAGAGATGGGAGGGGGTAGGAATGGGGTGGGTGCTGGGGGCCTGTAAGCGTGGGGGGGTTATGGGTGGGGGTCCCAGCTATGTCTGGGGGCCACACCGGGTGTAAGACAGGAGGGGTTAAAGTTGGGGAGTACTCTGGGTACCAGGAATGGGGAATTACGGCTGATTGGGTTGCTGGGGTACCAGGGACGGAGAGATATGGGAGGAGGGGTTTGGGCACCAGGCATGGAAATGGGGATCCTTGAGTACCAGGGATGGGGGTTATGGATGAACGGGGTCTTCCGGGGGCCAGTAATGGGAAGAGGGGAATGGGGGAGCCAGCTCTGGGTCCCAGGGAGAGAAGTGGGGGGCACCCCGTGAGCCGAATTTGGGGGGAGGTGTGGGTGATGGGCAGAGCGGTACCTGGGTACCAGCCGCGGGCGGGAGATGGAGATGGGGGCAGAGGGAGACGTTTGGGGGTGTCCCCTGCTCTGCGGCGACCTGAGTGCCGGGGAGGGAGGGGACACCCAGGCCGTCCCGGGGATGACATCAGGGATGGAGAGGGGGATCCCCAGTTCCGGATCTCAGCTCACGGTGCCGTTTTCTCGGTGCCCTGCCAGTGGTCTGCTCCCAGTGCCCGTGGCCGTTCCCTGGAGCGGTGCCCGGTTCCCGGTACCGGTGCCCGGTCCCACCGCCCCCGGAGGGGCCGCCCCGCCCCGCCGCACGTGACGCTGCGCGGTGGCAGCGAGCGCCGGGGCCCCGCTCGGCTCCGCTCGGTACCGGCCCCGCTCCGGGACCGCCCGGCCCCGCCGCCCCCGGTAAGTGCCGCCCTGCGGGGATCGGGCACCGCGGTCCCCCAGGAGAGCCCCCTCTAGGGATGTCCCCTCATCCCCGCCGCAGCACCGGGGGGTCCGTCCGCCCGTGACCTTCAGCACTGCCGGTACCGGGGGAGGGGATGGGGGGGGGAAATGCTCCGGACCTGGGGGAAAAGACCCGGCTTGGTGGGGGGGGGGAGAAGTCCCCCATTGGCTCCCAACCTGACCCCCCAATGTCTCCTCCATAATTGCATCCTACAACTTGCCCCCTACCAAACCTTCCTCCTTCCCGGATACCCAAAACCTGCCCCTCTCTTTTGCCCCCCATCATCTGCTCCCCCTGTTCCAGTCTCCCCACTCTGATCCCGTGTTTCCCCAAACCCAATCTCTCCCTCCCCACCCCCTAGTCTGGCCCCCACATCTAGAACATCTCCCCCCCCCGCCCCCCGGTGCTCCCCCACCCGCCCGAACAGCCCCCGCCTCGGATGCTGGGGTGTGGGGAGCGATAGGGGAGCCCCCCAGGGTCGCCCCCCGCCCGGCGGGGTCACGCTGCGGCCCAGGGGGTGCACGGGGAAGGGTCGTGTTTGCACGGGGACGGGTGGCAATGTCGCATTGGCACGGGGACACCAGGGTCGTACTTGCACGGGGACGGGTCACACCTGCACCAGGGCTGTGCTTGGCTGCGGTTGTGTTTGCACCAGGGCCGTGTTTGCACAGGGATGGGTCACACCTGCACTGGGGTTGTCTTTGCACAGGGACGGGGCTCATTTGCACCAGTGTCGTGTTTGCACAGGGACGGTGACATTTGCACGAGGGTCCGTTTTGCACCAGGGACGCACTTGCACGTCATTGTGTTTGCACAGGGCCGGGTCGCATTTGCACCAGGGCTGTGTTTGATGGGGGCAGTGCCATTTGCATGGGGACGGTGGTCTTTGCACGAGAATGATCACATTGCCACGGGGAGAGCGACATTTGCACGGGGCTGGTGACAGTGGCACGGGAATGATCATACTTGCACGGGGGGAGACCTTGGGCACGGTGGCATTGGCACGAAAACGATCATGCTTGCGCGGCGTCAGTGACAGTTTCACGAGGAGGGTTGGTACTGGCATGGGTTTGGTGGCACTGGCTCCGGCTCAGTGACACTTTCATGGGGAGGGTGACACTGGCGCGGGGTCGGTGACACTGGAGCGAGCATGATCACATCTCATGGAGTGAGTGACACGGGCACGGGGTCGGTGACACTTCACGGGGTCGTGACACTTGCGGGGTCCCGGCGCTGTCCGTGGTGCTGCCCCGCGCCGCCGCCTCTCGCCGACAGAGGGCGCCCTTCGGGGCGGGGGTGGGGATGCAATGAGTTTGGGGGGGGTCTCAGGGGCCCCCATGGAGTGACCCCGCCCCGCCGCTCCCGCCCCGCTGGCCCCTGGCACCGGCAGGGTGGCACTTGGCTCGCTGCCATCAGCTGGCTTCAGGGGTAAGGCTGCTGGCCGGGCGGCCTGGAGAGGGGCTGTGGGGGAGCTCTCCTCTCCCCCAGGAAGCGCCATGGGCCCCTCTGGACCCCCTCACACCACCTAGACGCGTCTCCAGCCAGCAGCACCTCCCAACTCCGAGGTGAGCACCCATGGATGCCTCCCACCCAAGGATGCCCACCCCAAGGCGGGGAGACAGGCACCCACAGTCCCTCTCTCCCCAGGGCAGCAGGATGGCCCAGCAGCGCCATGTCATCCCCCCACCACTCAAGGTAGGTGTTGTTGGGGTGAGGGGCACGCAGCCAGCACCCTGGGGTCCCATCATGGGCATCACCCATCCCACCACCCATGGGTGCCAGTGTCACCACCCTGTTGTCTTGCAGACGGAGGAGGACTACATCCCCTACCCCAGTGTACATGAGGTAGAGCACCTACCCCTCTCCAGAGACGGCTGTGAGGGCCACTGGCTGGCTGGGTGCGTTGGTGGGTGGGTGCCCAAAACACCCACCACGGCTGTGGGCGCAGGTGCTGGGCCGGGAGGGGCCGTTCCCCCTCATCCTCCTGCCGCAGTTCGGGGGTTACTGGATTGAGGGCACCAACCACCAGCTGAGTGGGGCCCCTGAGTCGCCTCCCACGCCAGTACCTGGCACCCGGGCAAAGCTGGAGGGCAACCACACGGCCAAGATCTATCGCAAGCACTTCCTGGGCAAGGTGAGGCCCTGGGGTGCTGCAGGTGTTGGTCTGGAGTGGGAGGGATATCCCATGGGTATGGATGGGCAGGAGCATGGAGACCACGTAATCTTGGGTGTTCATGGATGTGGGTGTGGTGTCCATGGGTATGGGGCCCCATGGCAAAGGTGCTCCTGTTCACGGATGCTCATGGATGTGGGTGTGTGTATCCATGGATATGGGAGCCCTATGGCTCATGGGCATGGGTGTCCATGGATGTGGGTATCCCTGGGCATGGCTGCCCTATGCCAAGGGTGCTTGGGGTGGATTCTCTATGGGAATGGAAGGACATGGAGACCTTGTAAACCCTGGCACTTTGGCACGTGGCTGCTTGTGGACATGGGTGCTCCATGGAGTGGGTGGTCAAGGAGGTGGGTGCTGGGTCTCCATGGGGAGGAGAACCCCTGGCATGGGTGCCCATGGACATGGGTACTCCATAGGTTTTCAGGGACATGGGGGCTCCATAAGTTTGTGTGTCCATAGGACCTGGATACCCCAAGAGGTGTGTGGCTCACTGAGTGTAGGTGCCCTATAGGTGGTACCTGTAGGTACAGGTACTCCATGGGGATGGGTGCTTATGGGTGTGGGTATCCCGTAGACACGGTGGCCCATGGACTTGGGTGTCCCACGGCATGAGCACCCTTGGCCATGGCTGCTTGGATCCTTCCCACAGGAGCACTTCAACTACTACTCCCTGGACCCTGCACTGGGACACCTTGTCTTCTCCCTCAAGTACGATGAGCAGGAGCACCTCCACCTGCTGCTGCGGTGAGTGGGGTGTGGGAGGCACCCATGGGAGCTGCCTGGAACGGGGGGCCCCCCTGACCCCTTCCTTGCTCCGCAGCACCCGTGCCCGCACCCTACATGATGTGGTGCCTATCTCCTGCCTGGCCGAGTTCCCCAACGTGGTGCAGATGGCCAAGGTGGGTGTGACCCCGCCTCCCAGCAGCACCCATGGGTGCCCCCCAGCCCCAAGTCCCCCGTGGCAACACCCGTCCTTCCCACAGCTGGTGTGCGAGGACATCAACGTGGATCGCTTCTACCCCGTGCTCTATCCCAAGGTGAACGGGGTGCAGGGAGGGGACACATGGGCACCCATGGTGCCTCGCCAACTTCTGACCCCTCCCCACCCCGCAGGCATCCCGCCTCATCCTCGCCTTTGACGAGCACGTGCTCAGCAACCACTTTAAATTTGGGGTCATCTACCAAAAACTGGGGCAGGTATGGGGTGGGGTAGATGGCCCTTAGGGTGGGGGGAGTCCCTGGGTGCGTGCTGGCACCCATCCCCACCCCACTGCAGACCTCCGAGGAGGAGCTTTTCGGAACTACGGAGGAGAGCCCCGCCTTCGCCGAATTCCTCGACGTCCTGGGTCAGCGGGTGCAGCTGCGGGACTTCAAGGGGTGCGTGAAGGGATGCTGGGGAGGGGAAAGGGCCCACAGGGTCAGGGTGCCTGTCCCACCCACCAACACACCCACGCAGGTTCCGAGGGGGGCTGGATGTGACCCATGGTCAGACAGGCAGCGAGTCGGTCTATTGCCACTTCCGTGACAAGGAGATCATGTTCCACGTCTCCACCAAACTGCCCTACACCGAGGGGGATGCCCAGCAGGTGGGCACCCATGGGTGCTGGGGGCTGTCTATAGTGGGCAGGGGCTCCTGGGGCACCCGTGGGTACTGGGGGGATGTAAGAAGGGAGAAGAGAGGGGGATACTTTGGTGCTTGAGAGCAGGGGATTGGAGGTGGTCCTGGGGCACTTCTATGGGGTGGAAGGGTTCTTGGGGCTTTGGGGATGTCTCATGGAATGGAGGAGACTCGTGGGTCACCCATGGGTGGTGGTGGGCATGTGTGTGGCCCAGGAGGTGGCAGGGCCCTCATGGGTGTGGGGAAATATCTTTGGGATGCAGAGGGCTGGTAAGGCACCCATGGGTTCTGCAGTGCATCTATGGGGCACAGGGGCTTTAATTCCTTTTGATGCTGCTGGTGTGACAACCCTCTGACCCTGGTGTCCTGCTTTGTCCTCCCCACCCCTATGTCCCCCCGTGTCCCTCTGCATCCCATCTGTCCCCACAGCTGCAGCGGAAGCGTCACATCGGCAACGACATCGTGGCCATCGTCTTCCAGGACGAGAACACACCGTTCGTCCCCGACATGATCGCCTCCAACTTCCTCCACGCCTTCGTGGTGGTGCAGCTGGAGCAGGGCGGCACCCAGGGCACCCTCTACAAGGTACCCTCCCGTGCCTCAGTGTCCCCGTCCTCATGGGGGCCCGCGGGGTGTTCCATCACCCCCCACCCGCCACAGGTCTCCGTCACCGCCCGGGACGATGTGCCCTTCTTCGGCCCGCCGCTGCCCGACCCCGCCGTCTTCAGGAAGGTGAGCACCCGTGGGTGCCGCTAGGGAGTCCGTGGGGACACCCGGGCACCCATCCAGGGCCGTCTCCACCCCGCAGGGCCCCGAGTTCCAGGAGTTCCTGCTGACGAAGCTCATCAACGCGGAGTACGCCTGCTACCGCGCCGAGAAGTTCGCCAAGCTGGAGGTGCGGGCACGGCGGGTGCGGGGCGGGCACGGGGCGCTGGGGGGCACCCAGAGGGCCTGGACAAGCCGTGGGGCACGACACGGGGCTGTGGACGCGGGTGCCGCGGGTGCCGCGGGTGCCGTACCCACTGTGGGAGCAGTACACAGCGTGGGGGCAGCGCGTGGGTGGGTGGGCAGGGGCTGGGCAGGTGGGTGGTGCCCGCGGTCGAGGCTGTCGTGGGGTGGTTTCAGGTGGGGCGGCAGCAGCGCGGGAGGGCGTTGCGAGGGAAGGCGCCGTGTGGTGTGGGATGGGCAGGGAGTGCGTGGCAGAGGTGCGGTGCAGGGCTGCGGGGTGTTGTGGGCGGTGTCGCGTGGGTGCAGCAGGGCGGGGATCGGTGCGGGGCTCGGTGTCTCGCGTGGGCGCAGCAGGGCGGGGCTGGTGCGCAGGAGCGGACGCGGGCGGCGCTGCTGGAGACGCTGCACGAGGAGCTGCAGGCGCGCAGCCAGGCCATGCTGGGGCTCGGCCCCGACGACGAGCGCCCCGACAACGGCGGCGCCGCCCCGGGTTTCTTCGAGTCCTTCAAGGTGGGGCGCGGGGGTCCCGCACTCCCCACTCCTCCGCACGTACCACTGCGGGCTCAGCCCTGCACTGAGGCCTGCGGGCCTGCGTCCCCTTCCCGGCTCCCCACCCCGGGACCGCCCGTGAGTGCCCGCCCAGGACACGCCCCCTCTGCATCGACCACGCCCCTTTGCTATAGCCGCGTCCCCGGGCCTTGGCCCCGCCCCAGCACGCGCAGCCGTTCTGCCCAGGCTCCGCCCCCTCACGGATCAGTCCCGGGCCGGGGCCCCGCCCTTTTCTCGACAAACCGCGCCCCTGGAGCCACGCCCCCTCGTCAGCATAAGCCCCGCCTGAGCCGCGGACAGCGCTCCGCGTGTTAAGCCCCGCCCCCTACCACAAGCCCCTCCCGCCTCACCTTGGCTCCGCCCCGGGGCTCGATCTCCCCGGTGCCCGCTTCCCTCCCGGTGCCCGCTTCCCCCCTCCCTGTGGTCCCGGTCGGTGACCCGCTGCCGCCCTCAGTCGCTGCTGGTGCCCGGGAGCCGCCGGGGACGCCGCGGCAGCGCCATCGGGCTGGGCTCGGTGGAAGAGGTGGGTACCTCGCTCTCCCCTCTCGATGTCCCCCTGGTCCCCGGTGTATCCCCGGTTAACGGCGCCCCGCAGGCGCTGCTGGTGCCCGGGAAGAGCCCGTCGAGGCGGCGGCCCGGCCCCCTCGGCTCCCGCCGCTCCAGCGCCATCGGCATTGAGAGCATCCAGGAGGCACCGGCCGGCAGGTGAGCGCCGGTACCGGCACCACCGCTGTCCCCTCCCGCTATCACTTCCCGCTGTCACCTCACTGCCGTCACCTCCCCGCAGGGACGTTCCCGCAGCCGCCGACGGCTCCAGCTCCACACACAGCTCCCCCGAGAGCCGCCGGAACCCCGACAGGTCCCGCAGCTGCCACCAGGATCGGGGACACGGGGGCAGGAGGGCACTGGAGTGGGGTGGCAGGGGGGTGGAGACTGGAAGGCACTGGGATGGCGTGGCAAGGGGACAGGGTGGCACCGGTATGGGGTGACTCCAAGATGAGGTGACACGGGGACAGAGTGACACTGGGATGGTGCAGCTCAAGGACAGGGTGACACCACAATGGGGTGGCACTGGGACAGGGTGATGTGAGATGGGATAGCAAAGGAATGCAATGGGCTAGGNATGGGGTGACTCCAAGATGAGGTGACACGGGGACAGAGTGACACTGGGATGGTGCAGCTCAAGGACAGGGTGACACCACAATGGGGTGGCACTGATACAGGGACTGGAGAGATGGGATAGCAAAGGAATGCAATGGGCTAGGTGACCTCGGGGTGAGGTGGCACAAGGATGAGATGACACCGAGACAAGGTGGCCCCAGAATGGCTGGCACAGGGCAGCATGGGGATGAGACACCAGAGAGACAGGGTGTCCAGGGACAGGTTCGCCCAGGGGCTGAGTGGCACAGGGTCTGTATGTCCCAGGGAGAAGGTGGAAGGGGGCTGTAGAGTGGCATTTGGGTGGCTTGGATGGAGGTTGGCATGAAGGTGGGTGGCACAGGGACACATGGCGTGGAGACAGGTTGGTATGATAACATGAGACATGGAAACTGGGACCTCCCAGGGATGGGAGGGGGACAGGGTGGCATGGGGATGGGACATGCCAGGGATAGGGTGACATGAGGATCCAGTGTCCTGGACGGGGTGGTGTGGGGACAGGGTGTCCCGGGACCAGCGCAGCATTGCAGCGGGCCACGGTGGTGGCCACGAGGCGCGGTGCCAGCCTGTTGTGGCCTTGGGGACTGTCCCTGGCTTTGGGGACTGTCCCTGGCAGGGCCGAGAAGCCGGAGCCGCCGGATTTCTCCCACTCCTCCTCCAGCGCCAGCAGTTTCGGCAGCGCCGCGGAGGAGCCCGGCGAGCCGGGACGGGTACGGGGAGCCCGGCCGGAGGGTCCGGGCGGTATCCGGCGGGGGCAGTCTGGGGTGGGCAGCACCCCTGTGACTCCCTCTCTCGCCCCCTCAGGAGAGCCGCTCGCCCTCGGGGAGCCACCGCGACGCCTTCACTGACACCCCCTGGACGGATGACCCCCCCGAGACCCCCCCAGGTAGCCCAGTACCCCCAGGTCGGGGCGCCACGGGGCTGGGGAAGCCCTCGGGCTGCTGATGGCCCCTCCTTCCTTTCTCCCAGGCTGCCGCCCGCCTGACCCACCCTGTCCTGAGATCAAAATCCAGCTGGAGCAGCCCCCCCATAATCCGGTGAGGCTGTTTGCCCCCCTCCACCAGTGCAGTATAGGGGTGCCCACACTGGAGTGCCCCCACTGATGTTCCTCCCGCAGGGTTCATAGTCACCCCCCTCACCCGTGGGGGTGTCACCGCTTCACCCCCTCTGTGTGCCACCCCCGTGCCAGGAGCTGAAGCCATTGTCCCCGGTGCAGGATTTGGGGGGACTCCCCCAAAAAATTGGGATGTTTCCCCCTCCAGACAATCTCTGTCAGCCCAAACCCCCCTTGGGTGAAGGGGTGATGCACCACAAAGGAGCCCCCCTCTGCCAAAATGAAGAGTGGGTCCAACCCCAGCATCATCCCCTCTCCCCCAAAAAAGAGGGGACTCAAATCCAGGGTAACCCCAAAGTGGAGCTCCACCTCCCCCCCTTTATTTTAAGGGGAAAAAAGTTCCAGAATGGGCCGGAGGCTGGAATTGGGGGATGGGGGAGGAATATTTTTTCACGCCCTCCCAAACTGTGCTTGTGTTTCCCATGAGTCCTGTATAAAATAAAAGTTTATTTATCGCTACAGTGGGGGTGCGTCTCCAATAGTTTGTGGGTCCCCAAAACCCCAAATATCAGTGGGGAATGTAAAAACACTAATTTGGGGGGTCATTTAGCCAAATGTTGGGGTTTCACAGCATCCAGGCCGAGCAAAGCCTTTCTTTGATGGTCCCTATTTTTGGGGTGCTGTGAGTACCCCAAAATATGGCAGGCGATGCCCTCACCTCCTCCATAAAAGTGCTTCTTTCAGCTCTGCTGGTCAGCCCGACGTCAGGAGCGGCATTTGGCCACGGCCCCGGTGGCCACTGGCGTCCTGCCAGTCCCCCCAGCCAAGGGAAAGTAGTTCCCACCCCCTGACCCCCCAAAAACCACGCGGCACCCCGGGAGTGGTTAAACATAGCTCGGGGCTGCCCAAGTTCTGGGAAGTGCCAGCAACCTCGGTCTACTGAGGGGAGGGAGCAAAGGGTACCGGGCAAAGTGGGGGGCAGAGCCCCCCCAAATCCAGCCCTGCCGGGGTCACCGCCTGCACCAGCTCCGGAGGATCCTGGTTAATGAGGAACTGGATTTTTAGTTATAAAACTGGTGAATGAATAAAAAATGAGGGAGGGGGCTCAGGAGGGTTTTGGAGGAACCTGGTGGATTGGGCAGTGTTTTCCCAGCCATTTGCACAAGCACAGGAACTCATGGACACCGTGGGGCTTTCAGGTGTGCACAGGGATTTCTGCACGTGCCAGGGGTAATTTGTACCAGCACAGTGACCTTGAACATGTTTGCATTTTACGTTTTCACTGCACCGTTACTCACGGCGACAGTCACACGTGCACGGTGGCTTTTGGACATGGAAGGCGGAATTCAAGCACAGTGACATCTGCACATGCAAGGCACAACACATCGTGACATCTCAGTGACATTTGCATGTGCAGGTGACATTTGCACACTCAAGGTACCTTTTTCTCAGCTCAGGCAGTGTCTGCAAGTGCACGGTGACACTGGCACAGTGACATTTGCATGTGCAAGGCACTGTACCCACTTGCACGGTGACATTGGCACAAGCACTGTGACATTTGCCCACTCCCAGCACCCTTTGCACACACAGGGTCGCTCTCCCTGGCCACCCCTCACGCTCCCAGTTCCCTTGCAGCTGCACAAGCCCTTTCCACCCACTAATTACCCCCTTAATTACTTCACCCTAATGAAGGGGGTGTGTCCCAGGACATCCCACCCCTTATATCCCGCTTTCCTGCCTTTACCCCCCTCTTCCACAATCCCAGCCCGAACCCCTCCCAAGTCCCTCTCGGGGCAGCAAATTGCTTTAACCCGAAGAATTTTAAAGCAAAATAAATCACTGACGAGACAACAAAACCCAAGTTTAGGGACAAATTAACCCGATGAGTTAATTTTTTTTCCCATCTTCGTGTGATCTCTGGCTCCCCACACATGTGACGAGTTGGGCACCAGGGTCAGTCCTCAGACAAGGGACCGCAGAGGCATTTTGGGACCCAGCCCCATTGCATTTTGCTCAAAGAGGGGGTTTCATCCACCGAGGCTCCGGCTGCCATCCCAAATCCCGTGGTGGGTTTGGGATAGGCCAGGGAACGCTGCTAATTATAGGGAAGGAACCATGTATTTACAGAGGCAGCTCCCAACACCAAACCACCGGCGGCTGCTTTTGCTCCGCTGAGTCTCTCTGTTCTCTCTCTCCTCTTTCCCGGGCGCTGCTGTCCACAAAAAAAATAAAAAGGGGGGAAGAATTAAAAATAAATCCCCCTCAGTGATTTGCAAGAGGCACTTTAGCAGAGGAGGAGGAGGAGGAGGCTGAGGAAGGGCAGGAGCAGGGGAGTGGCAGGACTGGCGGCAGCATTGCAGTGGCCTCGGTTGGAGCCGATGCAGGCGGCGTAAGCCATGGCATGGGGGATGTAGTTCTGCTCGTGGACCCCATGCAGCAGGTGTGCCATGGGTCCGCGAGCGAACACTGCCACGTCCTCACCGCCATGGGTCTCCTGCCGCAGTGGCACGGCCGACTGTGCCTGGTAGTCGGCGTGTGCTGGGGGAAAACAGCAGAAGTGAGAATCATTTAAGAACCCAGCTCCTTTTAGCCAACCTGAGATGATTTTAAGGGGTTTTGGACCAAAACATACTGACCGAAATCCACGGCAGAGACGTTTTCTCTCTCTCCTGCCACAATTTTATACCCGGGGCCGTTGCCATACAGGATGGAGGTGAAGGGTTTGCGGTCCACGTCGCTCTGCATCGGGGCCAGACCTGGCAGTGTGGCACAGTCACCAGGATGGAATCTCCCCCGGTGTCCCCAGGCTGTCCCCATGCAGTCTCTGGCACGGTGGCCAGGCAGGGCTCACCAAAGATGGGGTTCCCACGGGGGGTGTAGCCACCAAAGGTGAAGACGTGCGAGTGGTCGGCAGTGACGACGCTGAGCGTGTCCTGAGTGGACGTGAGGCGCGTGGCCAGCCCGATGGCCCTGTCCAGCTCCACCGCCTCGTGCAGCGCCTGCTTTGCCTTCCCCTCGTGGTGCCCGTGGTCGATGCGGCCACCTGCGGAACCCGGCATCGCTCGGCATTGCCCTCCTCTTCCCAGCCTTGCACCACCCCCCTTTTATTCTCTTTCTGCAAACCCCATCACCCCATTTATCCCCCCTTTTTACATCCCATATCCTCCCTTTTGCATCCCCATCAGCCCCTTTATTCCTCCTTTTCATCCCCCTACCCTTTATCCATTTCAGCACTTCCCCTTCACCCCTTTTATCCCTCCTTTTTGCACCTTCATTGCCAGTTACCCCTCTTTTTGTGTCCCCCATATCCCCTTTATCTGTCATTTGTGTACACCCCACCACCCTTTATCCTTCCTACCTGTCATCCCCTTTTTTTGCACTCCCATCTCCCCATTATCGTCCCTTTTTGCACCATCACCCTTAATCCTCATTTTTGTTCTTCCATCACTCCCTTTATCATCTTTTTGCACCTTCCAGTGCTCACTTTTTGTACCTCCCCTTTATCCAATTCCCCACCTTTTTGCACCCCATCACCCCTTTTATCCTCCCCTTTTTGTACATCACCCCCTTTATTCTCCTTTTGCACCCTTATTTTTATCGAATCCCCCCCTTTTTGCACTCCCATTGCCCCCTTTTATCCCCCCTTTTTGCATCCTCATGAATTCCCCACCTTCAACCAGGAGGAAGAACCCTCGGGGATTTTTCTGGAGCATCCTGATGGCCACAGACACCATCTCGCTGAGGGATGGATCTGTATCGTTGTTCCTGTCCAGCTCGTACACCATGTCCCCTGGCTCGAAGAGGCCTGGAGACAGGGACACTGCTGGAGACATCCTTTCCCCACCGAAAGAAACAGCGGGGGGGCAAATCCTCCTCCTCGTGCTGACTCGACTCAAGTGTTTCACACACCACTGGATCCAGGAAGATTAGATAGAAGCCGGGGTAAAATCCCTGCCCTTCCTTCCTCCTGCCTGGCTGGATTCCACATTCCAGATGGGATAGGAATTTCAATGCTGACAAAAGAACTGCATCCCTAGGAGGGAGATGTGTCCCAGGGTGGGAGTAGCAGCATCCTTGAGAGCACACCAGCAAACCCAGGGTGGTGCACCAGCATTTCCAGGGAAATCGCAGCTTTTGGGGAGCATCCCTGGAGGCAGCAGTAGCACCACCCTTGGAGTGTAACAGCATCCCTTAGGGGTACCAGCATTCCAAGGGAGGTAACAGGATCTGTTGGGGGCGGCACCAGCATCCCCACAGAAATAGAACTATCTTTGGGGGCTACCAGCACATCCAGGACAGGTACCACCATCCCCTGGGGGCAGCAGCACCCCTGGGAGGATAACCGGCCACTGCAGCTGCCCCAGCACCACAGGACAGGACAGAGGTCCCCCTAAAGCACCCAGATGATGCCAGGGCACCCTTGTGTGCAGGGACTCACCCAGCAGAAAGTCAACACGGCTGAGGTTGAGCGCCAGCAGCCCTCGCCGGTGCCACACGTACTCAGCAACCTGGGGACAGGGGACAGGAATTGTCACCTCTCCATTGCCTCTGCCATCCCCGCAGACGCCGCCCCCCGAATATTGCATCCCCCAGGAATGGCTCTGTAGGGTTACAGTAGGGAGATGTGTGTGTACACCCACCCCCAGAGAGTCCCTGTCACCTTGCCGCGGGGCTTGGCCTCCTGCCATGCCTGGACGAGGTTCCTGCCGTCCAGGCGGGTGCCCCGATGCTTCTCCTCGTGGGGATATTCCACATCACTGACATTTTTGGGGTACATATATTTCCGCCCTCCACCCAGGATCACCTGCAAAAGAGGGGAGGAAATGTAGTTTTAAATAATTTAAAATTATTTTAAATTTCCCCCTCCAGCCGGGGTTTAATGAGGGAAGAC